GGGCAATAACAACTGGCAAAGTCTTAGGCACAGAGACACAGAGAACAGAAGAGCAGGAAGGAAATTTGTGATCCCTTGGCCCAGGGGCTCAAATGACCCCAGGTGAATAAGACAGATGCAGAAAAAGGTCAGGAGCATCACTGTTTTCTCAATTTTGACAGAGACCTACATAAAGACTCATTTAACCTTTCTTAAATCAGCTATGAGAAACAACCATATGTGCACACGTAAAACCGAATGAGGACTCATGCGACCCGAGAGCACCTATGTCTGGTAAAGGGAGACTGAACAACACCAGCCAGCACGATTGGAGCAGCTCTAGGGTAAGCTTAGGTTTGGGAGTCCCTCAAAGTCATCCTGTCCTAGATACGGCCATCCAAACATGACACACTCCTCCATGCAGAATCAACATTTAGAGAAGCAACGGCCATCAACAGGAAATGCATCCTCTACCAACAAGATCGATGCTCTCGCCTGGCTGATGTGGCTCAGTGGTTGAGCGTCCAACCGTGCATCAAGAGACTGCAGGTTCAATTCCTGGTCAGGGCAAATGCCCAGGTTGTGGGCCAAAGCCTCAGTGGGGGACATGCAGGGGGTGGTTAATCCATGTTCTCTCTCATTGGTGTTTCTCTCTTTCTCACCCTTTCCCTTCCTCTCTCTAAAATCAATAAAGAGCCCTGGCCGGTTTTGCTCAGCGGTTAGAGCGCCCGCCTGCGGTCCGGAGAGACCCGGGTTCGGTTCCCGCTAAGGGCATGTACCTTGGTTGCAGTTTGTCCCCGGCCCTGGTTGGTCGTGCGGGTGGCAGCCACTCGATGTGTCCCTTTCACATCGATGTTTCTCTCTCCCTCCCACTCTGTCTGTACAAAAAATGGAAAAATGTCCTTAGGTGAGGATAAAAAATAAATAAATAAAATCAATAAAGAAAACCTAAAAGAAAAATAAAATAAAATCAATAAAGAAAAAAAAATTTTTAATTAAAAAAAATCGATGCTGTTCCTCTTCTTTGTAGTGGGCCATCACAAGTTGCCTATTCAGCACCCATTCTCTTTTTCCCTTTCCCATTAAACCCAATCTTCCTTTGGAAGACCACTATCTCCAGTTGAGGAGAGGTGATGCTATCTGTATGGGGCACCCCACTTACCTTCCAGGGTGGCCCTACTTTGTGTAAGCTCAACAGCACAGTCTTGGGCCCTTGCACAATTATGCCATGATGGGCAGGACACAACAGCACACAGCATCCCTTGTCCCTCAGAGCAAACTGCAGGACTTCCTTCAATGCAGCAGGGAAGCATTTTACAAAATAAGGCAGCCCAATGGGCAGCCACCTCCAACACAAAGTAGCCAACCTGAGAGCAGAGCTGGCCACAGGAAGGCAGAGGCAGAAAAGTATTAAGAAACAGGGCAGAACTTGGGAAAAATCAGCTAACAGCCTCTCTGTTCCAGTCTCAGATCCCATTCCCTTGTCCCCCTTAGATCAGGCAGGGAGAGACTTCCATGCCCTAAATAGGCAGGATCCACAACCCTTGTCAGCAAGAAGCAGTTACTGAAGACAGACCATCCTTCCTCATCACACCTGAGAGATTTTAGGGATGAAAGTCTCTTGAGGGGGGAATGAGACAGGCTAGTAAGCCAGGACACGTGGAACAGGGAAACTGAAACAGATAGTTGAACAAAATGACAAGCAATTTACAGTGGATACAGGTCACCTCCCTAGAAATAACATCTAGACCTCAGTTGTGTTTCAGCTCCAGACCTAGAAAAGCAGCAAAACCAGGTAGACAACACCAGGACCAGCTGCAATGACTAACGACCCTCTGCCCTGACACTGATCAATCAGTGAGAACCAGGACCACAAAGGAACACACCTAGAAAACTGATGAATATTCTGTTGAAACCCTCCCTTAAGATTCTGGCCTGCAAGAGAGAAGTAAGTCTCAAGACAAAGGACCCAGCTGCATGCTTTCCTTCCCAGGACTACGCCTGCATTCTCCCCTTTTCTTCCCCCACAGGCATGCATCTCCTAGACTCTAAGGGACACCATGAGGTTTGCAACCAGGGCAGCAAGGGGCAGTGGCAGTTCATCCCAGGCAAACCCCCTGAACCTGTCTCCAAGGTCCCCTTTTCTCTGACTTCTTAATGAGCCAAAGCAGACCAGCCGAGGCTCACTTCCCCAGCCCTTTCCGGTCTCATTGTCCCCAGCTTCAAAAGGTGTCCTGTAAAATTTTAAAAAAGGAAGAAGAAAGAAAGAAAAAGGGCAGAGCCTGGCCAGAGTAGTTCAGTAGGTTGAGCATCGTCCCATGCACGGAAAGGTTGTCAGTTCGCTGGTTCAATTCTGGTCAATTGGGTTGCAGGTTTGATTGTACAGAAGGCAACCCCTTCTCACATCAATGTTTTTTTCTCTCCCTTCCTCTCTCTAAGCACATCCTTGGTTGAGGATTTAAAAAGAAAAAAGAGCCCTGGCCGGTTTGGCTCTGGTTGGAGCGTCGGCCTGCAGTCCAGAGAGACCTAGGTCCGGTTCCCATTAAGGGCACGTACCTCGGTTGCAGTTTGTCCCCAGCCCTGGTTGGATGTGCGGGTGGCAGCCACTCGATGTGTCCCTTTCACGTCGATGTTTCTCTCTCTCTCTCCCCCTCCCACTCTATCTGAACAAAATATCGAAAAAATGTCCTCAGGTGAGGATTAAAAAAAAAAAAAAAAAAGGAAACCTAATTTTTAAAAAATAAATAAAGAAAAAAGAAAAAGAAAAAAGATGCCCTGGACGGTTTGCTCAGCAGTAAGAGCATCAGCATGTGCTCCAGAGAGACCCGGGTTCAGTTCCCGCTAAGGGCACATACCTCGGATGCAGTTTGTCCCAGGCCCTGGTTGGGTTGTGCGGGTGGCAACCACTCCATGTGTCCCTTTCACGTCGATGTTTCTGTTTCTCTCTCTCTCTCTCTCTCTCTCCCTCTCTCCCTCCCTCTCTCCCTCCCACTCTATCTGAACAAAATATGGAAAAATGTCCTCGGGTGAGGATTAAAAAAAAAAAAGAAAAATGGCTGGAATCCAGATCAAACCATATCTGAAGTTGGCCTTGCCTCTGGACTTTTCATCTATCTGAGTCAGCCAATCTCCTTCACTGTTTAAGCCAGAATGGAATGGATTTTCTGTAACTTCCAAAATAGTGCATCCGAGCTGCACGCCCCCCCCCAAAGAACAAGATGTGCAGAACTCTATCCCGTGAGTACTCATGAAGAATAATCCAACATCAGAGATTCTATACCCACAAATCTTCAAATAGGAGAATACTCAATCACAGACAGGACTCCTGAACTCCAGGCTCCCTCTACCACCAGCAGCTCCAGGTCAGGCAAGTTAAAACCCAAATCCTTATAGCTGAATGTATCAGACAGGCAAAGCCAACACATTCTATTAATTTGATAGCAAGGGTTACTTATTACAAATAGAACCAAAGAAAAGGCAAAGTTGATGTTTAAGACCCAACAACTAAAAAGAGTGCAGACTGGGGCTGGTCACAGGAGAAGTAGCCATCAGGAATTTTTTATGTTAGAAATCAGAATTGAGATCCACTTTTTTTCCCCTGAAGCCTAGGCCTTAAATTTAATCCCATCTTAAAATTGTTCTAATCAAATATGAAAACTTTTAGGGGAAGTTTAAAAAACTGTCAGTTACTAACCTTACTTAATAGGATAATTTTATTACATACTCTGGTCTAAAAAGCTTGCTAAATTGGGAGTATTTCAGATCTTTGCTCCCTGGCATATGTTTCACTTTGGGCTCAAATAAACTATTATAAAAATTCCAAAAAGAACAAATAAATAATAAAAATAAAAAGCTTGCTAAATCAATAGTGTTTAGCTAAAGAGAGTAAGCAAAAAGGCATACAAAAATCACCTCAAACAGTATATCCTGAATCACATCGCTTGAAAGATGGCTAAACCTCAGAAATGTTTGATCCTGTGTTTATAAGCAAGTAGCCAATTTCTCTGCCACAGTAAGCTTGCTTGGATAAATGATCTGGGTTTTTAGAAACTCCATGGGAGAGTCCCAGCACCTTGGGATGTGTTTTCAGACTCTTGATCGAATCAGCAGGGTCATACAAATTCCAAACTTTCAAAATTTCACAGGCAGAAGTCTCCAGACCAGATAAAGTGAAATGAGTGGGAAACAAAAGAGCCCTGCTAATATCTGCTAACATCAGCAACAGACTCCAACCATGGCCAAATACACCTCCAATAACCACAAAAGGGAGTACCAAGAAAAGAGAATGAAGAAACAGGTTCCTAAGTTGTAACAACTTCTTGATAGCACTTCATGCCTCCAAAGTTGCACATGTGTCTGTTGGAAAGGCTGCAATCACAACTGCGGAATGCCCGTGGGCTGCTTGGAACTGACTACACAACAGCACTAACTCATTTTGTTGGCAGGGGAAAAAAGGTACAATTTGAGAAAAGTGACCTCAGCCACAGAAGTTCCCAAAGTGCTCAGACAACCTGCTGCACAGCAGCCTTCTCACCACCACAACCTTAGAAGACGGTTATAAAAAACAATAATCCAGAATTCTCTAAGTATTGATGCATTTAAATGTCCACACCTCTCTTTATTAAGCCAAAAGGATTGTATCTACCAGGTAAATACACTTTCTATGCAAGAGGATACAAATTTTACTGCTAATGGGTAAAGTGTGAATGTCACAATTTCTAAGAATTCCAATGTCCCTAACGACTTACAAAGCCATATATTTTAGTCTGTCCTTTTTTTCTTCATTTCTTTATTTTATTTTATTTTATTTTTCCATCATTATCCTCAATGTACAAATATTAAAAACATTTAATAACAAATGTGAAGATATCATAAGAATTGAAACCACAATTCACCCAAGGCAACAGGAGTGTACCCACTTGGGGTTGAAAGACAAGACCATTCCTTACCAACACCTTTCCTTACTAGTTCTCCAGTTCTTGGAGGTGAGCACAGAAACAGACACCTTGTGTCTGACTCACCTGAATTCTCTGCCTTCGCTGTACCGTCTACTTGAGGAGGCCCGCGGGGCAGCTGTCTCCAGGAGCAGCTTCTGTGTCAGCCTGCTGGGGGGAGCAGGGTCTCTGCCATCATCTTCGTCTATATCTTGGTCACACTTCCATTCCTCATCTTCATTCAAAGTGGGCAGATATCCAGGTATGCCCTTCCCTGTCCCTGACCCAGAGCTCTGGTCACTACAGAGCTTCGGGCTCTCTGAGCCTGTCCTTGTGTATTCCAAATAAATATCAGACTTGAGGAATGAGGGGTACGTGTTCTCTTCCATGGTAGATTGGATTTCTGTCTGGGCCTGGTCAAACATGGCAGGATCAATCAGCTGCTTCATAATGCAGTCCTTTATGAAACTCTTGGTGGCTGGCTTGGTTTGCCTGGACACAATGCCATTGTTATCAAGGATGTACTTTCGGTAGATAGCTTTGGCTAGCTTCAGCCTCTTCTCCTCATTTGAGTCACAGGGCTCCAGTTTCCTGAAGCCGCTGCAGGCAAACCAGAAGTCCAGCAGGTCAGCACAGTCCTCCTGCTTCAGGAAGGTCCTAAACAGGTTTATCCCGTCTTGATCATCTAGTAAGGAGTGCAATGACTCGGCCCACTTCAAGTACGGTGGGGTGGGTGAAGCACTGCCCTCAGGCTCGTACCCCAGGTCCAGATCTGAGCGCCTCGGAGTGGCTGTTGAAGTCTCGCCTTTAATCCCGACACCTTTCCCAGAGCAGAAGCTGTGGCTGACAGGCCTAGGGTCTGTGGACACCAGTTCACCCTCCTCACCAGGCACTGGAGGTCTGGGGGCATCTTCGGTGAAACTTGCTCCGAGGTCCAAGGGGAAACCCTGCTCTTGAATATTCATTTTGAGACTCTGCGTCAATGAACAATGAGCGCTGCACCCTAATACATCAGTACTTATAGCTCCAAAGTGAATCAATCTGTCCTGTTGAAACCATTAAGAGGACAAGGATTAGGAAAGGTGGGTCCATGGAAACATGACCACAGAGGTTTTCTCAAGACAAGACTTGCAATGACGCCCTCCCGCTCGAACTCAAAGCCAGAAATTCAGTTTAAATTTGCAACCTTTCATCACAAAGTTTTTGCTATATTAAAACAATTTCTGGTAACTTTTACAACTACAGGAATGACTCTGGTGCTAAGAAATGGAGAACACCACACCCCTCAAGTAACATCACAGAGACAAGCAGCCTGGGGCAACCTGGAGACCTCCCATCTTGGCTACAGAGCTGAGTGACCAGTCCTTCTCTGCAAGTTCCAGGAAAGCAAGAGGACTGGAGAAAACAAAGGTGCTTCTAGTCCTCCTAGTCGTCAAACTTGGTGTAAACTGATCCTTCACACGTGAGATAAGGATGACTACTCCTACCTGCTCCACAGGGTCACTGTGAGACTCAGATATGGAAAGGACAGCACATCACACACCATTAGGAGGGCGGTTGTATCTGCTCTCCACATTCTCTAGGCCCTCAGCCACTGTGCTTTCTGCCTACCCCACCACTTCATACTCGTATGCCTCACAACATGTACAAACACAAAGTGAGTTGTTCCTCTAACTCTCAACACATGCCAAAAAGAGCAGTTAATTATGGGTCACCTTCAGCATCTTCAAGAGTGTAAGCAAAAGACATGCACATACACAGGAGCCTTGTCATGTCACCAATGTGGACAATCTTAAAAATGTTCCCATCAGAAAGCTGCACTTGACCTTTAAAACCTTGCTTATAAGGAAAGTATCCTACTGATGGCAAATGGCAATTGAGTACTCTGAGGAACAGAGAAGGTATGGGAAAAATGAAAAGCAATACAATTACAACTTTTAGCTAAGGAAGCATACAGCTCATATGATTTAACTCTGAAAGCTGAAAACCGAACCACCCACTCAGAGATCAGGGAACCATGCATTTTTGTTGCTGCTACTACAAGCCTGCTTTGGGTTTGAGGGAAGATTGTCCTGGATCAGCACTCTGCTATGGTCTTTGGTCTTCCCTGTCACATGCTACAGGAGCTCTTAGAGCCCACAAGCTGGGTTCTAAGAGGGTGACTACAACACAGCCTGCCATGATGTAAGTGGTCTGCCTAGAAGTGAGCTGGAGGGAAGCATGTCAGGTCCAAAATGCCTGGAGCACCTGAACAAGCCAGAAGAAGCAAAATAGAACCCTACAATCTGGTACCGACGCAAAGGGAGCTCTCCCTGGCCATCAATCCACACTCTGGGCCCTGGTCTACATGTATCCGCCCCCAATATCTGCATTCTCACACTGCACACACTTCACCTGCCAGCAGCTGCTGACAGCTAAAAGCGAAAAGCATTCAGAGATGGAGGCTGGGTCACAACTATGTGCACCAAATGACATTTCTGCAGCTAATTACTTTTTATGAAAACTACTGGGTAGGTTGTAATTTCAGCCTCAGCAAGAATAGCCTGTTTCTTAAGGTCAAGGCGCTCAGGTTATGGCACCCTGCTGCTCATGGACCACTTCAACGGCAACGTTGCTTTCTTGGAGCACCATCAACATGGAATAAGTACCTATGGTGCCTCAGCTCCACACCAGCTTGTGGATGTCTAATGTCCTATTGTCTAGGACATCATCTCAGGAGAGGGCCTGAACCCAGCCCCTGAGCCTTACCCTTAGAGATACTCTGTAGTTCACTGGCCTTAAGAAAGAACCAAGTCACTGTTCAAATGGAAAGCGAATTATGAATCACTGTCATTTTCTCTTAAGGTCCTATGACTTCTATGTAAATTATTTGCAGCAGCCTGATTTAAACATTTTCTTCAGGACACACAGCACCTAGCACAAAGTCTGGCAACTAATGGGCACCGATAAGTATTTAATGATGCCAAATGTTGCTTATTTATAGATGCTGAACTACTATGCTGTAGAAACAGCAATTAAATTCAAGATCTACCCCTTTACTACCAAACTGGGGTTATCTTAAAAGAATGACGTTTAAATTCATGTGTGAACAAGTCCCCCCAATCATTTTAAACTATTTTTCATTGCTCAAAAGAAACATTTCTTATAATTCACATCTATTTTGGGCTGTCAACTGACAGAAGATCTTTGGTGTCTCTGGAAGCACATGAGCATCTCCCCAAGTTACTGATGTTATTGGAATGTGCTCCAACTCCCACAACCTCCAGGTTTCCACAGAGAAGCACACCAAGCATTTAGTGTACATACCACACATAAAGCAGTTATATTAATCCAAGTTAGAAACAAATGCCCACAAGCACTGAATCTAATATTGTGTAACCACCATCAATAAAGGAATTCCACAAAAGGAATCTACAACTCTGACACCACATTTAAAATCTCCTTTGGTCACTGCTAAGACATATCCCTTGGGTACCAAAGCAGCCAGCTCAATGTTACAGATGTGTATATATTTATTTAGCTCAAATATAACTTTTGACTTTGTTTATGTGAAGTGTAGAAATAATACAGCATGACTGATATTTTCCCAACTGTCCATTAATTAAACTCTCGAAAGATTAAATGGCTGTTACACATGTAATCCATGCCCCCACCACCTAAATTCTAAATAATCAATGTAACCCCCCAAAAAAAGTCTACTTAGCTTTTCTGAAACTAAAAATCCAAGAAACACCAACACCTAATGAAAAACAAACAGAAACACTGTGTTTTATATCCTTTCCCATCCTTGTTCCTGAATAGAAGTTCTTAAAAGTGAACCCATGATACTGTTATCTTGGGAGGTCAGGTTTAGACTGTGTGTGTCTCTAAAACAGGGCCTGGGGGTCCAAGTATGCCTTAAGACTTCCTGAAGAAGCAGAGAACATAAGTGCAAGCAGAAAAGAGGGGCAGAGATGCACAATAAGAACTCTATAAATTTGAGAGGTGAGCTGAGAAAAACCCCAAGAGAATTGACTTTTTTTTCTTCTCTACTGTCCTCAGTGTTGAACTAAGTTTCACTGCCCTGACTGTATTGCTCTGGTTTCATGGAGGACTGAATTTCAAAATACGATGCGAAGAATCTAAGACTCACACCCAAGAGAGACTTTGGGGGACCTTCAAGAGTACAGCCACTCAGATAAGCCTAACCCAGCCTAAGGCACCTCTGCCTCAGAAGGAGTGCTCTCCTTAGGTTTCAGACTCATGCATTCCTCCCTTTTGCTGAGAAAAGGGACACAATCCACTATCCAGCCTCTCTCCAGAATCCCTGCACACAAATATCTAGCCCCAGCAGCTACTCTGCACCCCACCCACACCCTGAAACATGCCCAAAGCCCACAGACCACAGCCCCCACCCAGCATCATCCAAACACAGCTGCAGACACCCCAGCCTCCTCCAAGAGGAACCGCTACCCCTTCTCAGAAACCTGGGTCTGCCTGACACCCTTCCGCTAACCTAGAGCAAGAGTCTGCCCTTTCTGCACCAAACCAAGCACTCTTTCCCCCAGTGTTAACGGCCCTTACCTTCTCTATCCCTTGCTAGCAACCCCCCCACACACACACCTGACCTCACAGCCTTAGCCACACACACCTTCCTCCCACTTCACCGCAGTCTGCACACCCTTCATGCACAGCCTGAACACTTCAGCACACCTCCCTTCACACACTCCTAGCCCGCACAGTCTCCCTTCACACGCCCTCCGAGCCCGCACAGCCTGTCCGCATAGCTTCCCTTCACGCGCACCCGACCCACACATCTCCCTTCAAACGCCGTCCGAGCCCGCACAGCCTCCCCCAAACACGCTCCCGGCCCGCACCCGCCGAGCCCCTCTTCCGGGTCCCGCGCCCGGCCCGGCCTACGCGGCCTACAAAAGGCGGCCGCGCTGGCCCGCGCCCTCAGGAATGCGCGACCGACCCGCACTACTCACCCGCGCGCGGTAGCGGCGGCGGCGGCTGGGCCCCGGGCCCGGCTCCCGGAGAGGCGCGGCGCGGCGCGGCGCGGCGCGGCCCATGCGCTCAGTGGCGGCGCGGCGGGCGGGACGGGGCGGGGGCGCGGCCCGGGGCGGCCCCCATCGCGGCGGCGGCGCGGCGGCCCGGAGGCGGGCGCAGGCTGGCCGCGGCGGCGCCGCCGAGGCCGGCCGCCCGCTCTCACCGGCTTACTCGTTGGGGACACAGGTCCAGCCGGACCCCGGCCGGTCCTGCGGCGGCGGCCGCGATCGCTTCCCCGAGTGGGGAGCCCAAGCCCAGAGTGCCGAAGCCCAGGCCCGAGCGCCCCCGCCGGCGCCGCCCGGAAGTGCGGGGGCGGGGCCGGGGCAAGGGGCGGGGCCCCGAGCGAGGGAAAGGCCGAGAGCGTGGGGCGGGATCGAAGGCGTGGGGCGGGGCAGAGAGCGTGGGGTAGAATCGAGAGCGTGGGGCGGGACCGAGGAGGGGTGGAACGAGAACGTGGGGGCGAGGCCAAAAACGTGAGGGCGGAACCGAGAGTGAGAACTCGAGACGGAGCCAGAGGGCCGGGATAAAGCGAAGAGAGTCGGAGAGGTCCCCAAATGGGAGGGTGGAGCTTCGAACGTGGAGGCAGTGCCGGGGCACGTGCTCGAAGCTGAGAACGTGGGGGCGGGTCCGAGAGAGACGGAGCCGGAGCGCTAGGAAGGACTAAGAGAATGGAGGTGGAGCCTCGATCGTGGGGGCGGGGCCTGAGCGTACGGGTTGGCCCTGAACTTTGAGGCGGGGCCAAAAGCGTTCAGACGGACCGGGGACGCGAGGCGGGGCCGGAGCAAGTGGGTGTGGTTAAATATGCCTATGTGGGCGGGGCGGGGGCGAAGCAACAACGCAGGGGAGGGGGGAGCAAGAAACTACGCCGGTCTCCTTGGGCTTTGGAATCCCCAGCAAGGGTTCCTTAAAGACTTTGGTCACCAGGAAGGCCTGGTCCGGTGCACTAAAATGATGACCGGCCCGGCAAGGCGCATGCCAGGTTGCAGCCTTTTTCTGCTGCCCACACAGATGTCCACTAGCCTAGGGTTACCAAGGTCGGCACCCACAGGCCCTCGGGGCAAGCAGCTCGTGCCTGAGTGGGTGAGGTGACCAGAGGGCCTGGAGAATGCGGGAGTGTCTGGCCCTGTACAGGAAGACCCTCACAAATGTTCAGGGCACTGAAGGGAGCAGGTGTCCAGGAGTTGGGCACCTGGAGGGCAGAACCAGGCTAATGGAGAGTTGAACCCCGGGTAATATCCAGCCCTTGTTTCCCCTTCTCCATGCCCACTGTTCCCCAACTGGCGAGGATGCTGAGGTGGTCTGGGACAATGCCCTCCCCGAGTCCTCAGGCAGTCTGGACTCAGGGCCTGGGCAAACAGTAGGTAATAGGCATCCAATAAATTCTAGCCGACACTTGGTCAGGAGACCCAACCTCCAAAGAGTTGTGCGCTGAATCTGGCTGAGGTCCCACCCTGGCTAGGCCCACCTGCCTCAATTTCTCCTACGCACTATCCAGGGTTCAGACAAGGACTCCCCTTCCCACCACTGCCTGAGGGTCTCACTTGCCCAGGCCAGCCTGAAAGCATGGGCCTCTGGGTGTCCTGATCCCTGCATCCACCATCCCTTTACCCCCTGCTGTCACCATAGCAGTCCTTGCCTGACCTGCAAGCCCAGCTGGCCAACTCTGTGTTGCACACTCCCACCACCAGTCTCGCCCTAAGGGAAGGATGTCAGCACCAGGAATTGATTACTGCCCCTAAGGAATTGCTTCTGCCTCCACCTATGACCACCCAAGACCCTGTCCTGTGCACAGCCATGCTGGGCCTAGCATCTGGAAAAATGTTCCTGGCAGCCTCCAGGGAACAGCCATACTGCCATTGTACAGACAAAGAAGCTGCCACTCAGGCCATATAGGGATCTGCTCACCTCTTCCTGCCCCAGGATTCCCCAACACCTCATCCATCCACACCTTTCCCAACAACCTTCATTTAGCCTGCTCTCTGGTGCATACAGCCCTTCAGAACCCTTCTCTGATGTCTCCTCCATGCCACCCTCACCTGGGCACATCTGAAGTGGTCACTTGCCCACTTCATGCTTCCACTATGCTGCCCCCAGGTCACCTCTAATGTCACCAAATCTTTTCCTGGACACTGCTCACACTTGTTGTGCACCTTCATCTTATATATCTCCCAGGCAGGGGGAGAAGTCCCAGCTTGGGACAGCCTGAGCTACCAACCAGCCTCCCACTCAGCTGCCCACCAGTAGTTCCTGCCTTTCCCAGGGCTCAACATAGATTCCAGTGTCCAGGGTTTTGTAGGAAAAGGGGGCAGAGAGAGATAGGGGCCACCAGAAGTATCCACAGCTTGCTGAGGCAGGCTGGGCATGGGCCAAGGCTGTGGATGAGAATAGCATATTTCAGAAGCTATATGTCTGAACCCACATTGGCTCCACTAGGGTTCTGGTGGCAGGTGTCACTCTCACTCACTAGATGGCCTCAGGCCCCACAATGCTAGACATAGGAGATGCCCCCGCAGCCCCTCCTCTCTCCTGTTCAGCCTCAGAAGCTTAGAGGAGACAGAATAGGTGGTCTTCATTGCACAGCAGGATTTCTATGGGGTGCAGGAGTCCTGGATAGACGGGACAGACAGCAGTACCTCCCAGACAATCGCCCTCAGGCTGCCTCCCCACTCCCAGACACTGGCCCCCAATGCTTGCCTTGGTTCTGCAGAGCTGCTGCTGTGGCCAGACCAGACTCCTGAGGTTGTGTCCACATCCATCCTTCTCCTGGCCCATGGTAGCAGATGTTCCCAGGCCCTGGGACCAGAATAGGGCCCTCGGGCCTCCGGCTCCTCAGGGCCCCCACCCTGCAGGAACAGGAAGGGAATCAGAAAGTCTAGAAGAATGCAACAATGTTCTATGGTGGGTTATGCCTGTGGGCATAAGGGGAGATTGTCCAAGCAGGGTTGGGGAGCAGACCAGAGGAGGAAGCTCAGGGAGAACTCTGAAGAGAGGAAGGCAGTGAAGGCAGCACAGGGGCCTGCAATGAAACAGAGGTGACCTGGCAGGGAGACTGCTTCAGCTACCCAGAGCTGAGACCAGATATATCTGTAGGACTCTCACTTCTGAATAGGTGAACTCCAAGGTGGAGCACCCTCTTTTCATTGCAGAGATCCTTTAAAATGAACTCTTGCTTGTGCCCTGGCCAGTTTGGCTCAGCGATTGGAGCGTCAGCCTGTGGTCCAAAGAGACCCAGGTTCGGTTCCCGCTAAGGGCACGTACCTCGGTTGCAGTTAGTCCCTGGCCCTGGTTGGGTCATGCGGGTGGCGACCACTCCTTGTGTCCCTTTCACATCGATGTTTCTCTCTCTCTCTTCCTCGCTCTCCTTCCCACTCTATCTGAACAAAAAATGGAAAAGATGTCCTCGGGTGAGGATTAAAATAAATAAATAAATAAATAAAATAAAATGAACTCTTGCCCTGACTGGTTTTGCTCAGTGGTTAGAGCATTAGACTGTGGACCAAAGAGCCCCAGGTTTGATTCCAGCCAAGGGCACGAACCTTAGTTGCGGTTTGTCCCTGGCCCCAGGTGGAATTGTGCGGGTGGCAACCAATCGATCTGTTTCTCCCACATCTATGTTTCTCTCTCCTTCCCACTCTGTCTGAAGATAAATGTAAAAATATCCTCGGGTAAGGATTAAAATATAAATAAATAAAATGAACTCCATTCCTTGGGAGCAGAAGTCTGCCACTAGAGGCTTTGATTTGATTAACTGTAGATGACATTTGTTCAGGCTTTCCAGGAACGAAGCAAAAAAACTTAGGAATAACAATCTAATTAAAAAATGAGCCCTGGACAGTATATCTCAGTGGTTAGAGCGTCGCCCAGCAGACCAATGAGTTGTGGGTTCAATTCCAGCCAAGGGCATGTACCTCGGTTGTGATTTGTCCCCAGCCCTGCTTGGGGTCATGTGGGAGAAGCCACTCAATGTGTCCCTTTCACGTTGATGTTTCTTCTCTCTTTCATCCTCTCTCTCCCTCCCACTCTATCTAAACAAAAATGGAAAAAAGTCCTCAGGTGAGGATTAAAAAAAAAAAAATGGGCAGAGCCCTGGCCAGTTTCCCTCAGCAGTTAGAGCATCAGCCTGTGGATGGAAGGGTCTCGGGTTTGATTCCCAGTCAAGGGCACATGCCTAGGTTGCAGGTTCAATCCCTGGCCTCCATTGGAGTCATGCGGGAGGCAACCAATCAATATCTCTCTCTCACATCAATGTCTCTCTCTCTCTCTCCCTCCCCCGCCCTCCTTCCCTTTCATTCTATCTAAAAAATCAAAGGAAAAATATCCTTGGGCAAGAATTAACAAAAAAAGAAAATAAAAACAATGGGCAGAGGACCTGAATAGACACTTCTCCAAAGCGGATATACAAATGACTGAGAGACATATGAAAAAAATGTTCAACATCACTAATCATCAGAGAGATGCAAATTAAAATGACTATGAGGTATCATCTCACACCTGTCAGAATGGCTGCCATCAACAGATCAACAAACAACAAGTGCTAGCAAGGATGTGGAGAAAAGGAGACTCTAGTACACTGCTGGTGAGAATGCAGACTGGTGCAGCCACTATGGAAAACATTATAGTGTTTCCTCAAAAAATTAAAAATGGAACTGCCATTTGACCCAGTGATCCCACTTCTAGGAATATATCCTAAGAAACCTGAAACACCAATCAGAAACAATATATGCACCCCTATGTTCATAGCAGCGCTATTTACAATAGCTAAGATCTGGAAATAGCCCAAGTGTCCATCAGTAGATGAGTAGTTAAAAAGTTGTGGTACATTTACACAATGGAATGCTATGCAGCTATAAAAAGAAAAATCTCTTACCCTTTGAGACGACATGGAGGGACCTGGAGAGTATTATGCTAAGCGAAATAAACCAGTCAGAGAAAGACAAGTATCACATGATCTCACTTATTTGTGGAATCTAATAAATAAAATAAACTGATGAACAAAATAGATCCAGAGACATGGAAGTAGGAAACAGACTGACAAACTTCAGAGGGAAGAGGGATGGGGGTGCAGAAAGAGATAAACCAAAGAACTTATATGCATAACCAATGGACACAGACAACAGTGTGATGAAGGCAGGGGTGGAGTGGGAGTAGGGAGGACGGTGTCAATCGGGGTAAAAAAGGAGGGACATCTGTAATACTTTCAACAATAATGATAATTTTTTAAAAGAACTTAAGAGCAGAAATGAAATTCCTTTCTTC